CCCACCACTGGAATACCGCGTGCAACCTTGGATTCCATACTATCGCAAAGATATGGAGTGTCTAGAGAGGGTACAACGACCGGTAACCAGAATGGTCACTGGACAGATAGGGAAGAGCTACTCGCAGCGTTTGAAGGAACTGAATCTCTTCTCGCTGTCACGCCGAAGGACCATAGACGACTTGTGCGTGTACAGACCCAGATTTCGCATCATTAAAGTTGAGAGTTTTGAGTGCTCGCCCTGATAATTTGTCTTTTGAATCTAAAAGTGTACTTTTTCGAAATAACCTTTCGCTTTATTTGCTATTAATCCTTTTTCTAACACCTTCGGTATCACGTTTCTGGCTGCGGTTCTTAGTGTCCCAACGGTCAACATTTAGTGCGTTATACTGTTACGAACTCTGCTGTATCTCTCTACTGTATCTCCCATTTAGTGCTCTTTTGTATTTTTCATATGTCATCGTCATATCTCAACCTACTCTTAAAATGACAGCAGGAAATAACGATACTGTCTCAATCCAGGATTTACCTCGGGATGAGTAATCTTTTTCTATGCGTCTTGACAACATCGTACTTAACAAAACTCCAGTGATACCAACCCGGATAATCTTATCCCAGAGCGAGGTAATCTTAAGCATAAAGACGAAAGTTACCAAACTGGAAGCTGAGTTGGTGGAGGTGAAAGCACTACTTGTAGGTCAAATCACTGGAGATCCTGAACCCAATCAGGTGTTCATATCTTCGAACAAAAACCAAGAAAACGATCACAGTTATCGTGGTCGAGGTCAGCCAGAGTGTAACAGTATGGCACTGTCTTGCTCAGGCAAATATAATTAAGAGAAGTAAATATGCCACAGGTGTAGCTCGTGACAGTCCTCTTCTTGTCAGAAAATCTGACAAAAAACCTAGTAGCGTGGAAATAGATGAGAAACTGCGAATGCTTACCGCAGTCAATCTCACGCATCTGGATATTGAGAAGGTATCACAAATCTCCTCTCCCCAAAAGGAAAAGAATCTATGCTTCGCACCACTAGTTGCCAGCACTCCCGACGCAAGCTTCGCCGACATAACCACGGATGAAACAACCATAGTCAGGATCATCCACCGACAGTCAATGGCCCAATCAAGAAGCCCACCATTCGACCAATAGCTGGGATGATTGGGATACCTGGTAATCCACCACCTAAGGCAATCCCCTCAGCTCATACCCCGGAGCAAAAAAAAACTTAAGAAACAATTTTTCTGCGCCAAAACCCGAAATGTTATCAAGCGTCGCCAGGTTGCTCCTAGAGCGAACACCAAGACAGGACTGTAAGAAAAGTAAGACGCGCCAACCCCATTTTCTGTCCCCAGTAGACCGTTCTCGCCCACCAGATAGAGCAAAACCCCAGAAAACTGGCGAGTCAATCTCGCCGGCACGCAACATGGATACAAGACACATGGCACTACTCTCCATGAAGCTCTCACGGGTGCCATGACCCGTCCCCCCCGGAGCAAACTGGTAGAAACACCTCTACTCCAAAACTCTCCCACATCCCTTGCCACACTACCAGACCTGATAAAATACATATTGAGCAAATGCAGAAGTGCGTATCAACCAACTTCCTCAGTATAACTAATGAAATCCTTGAACTACGACAGCTGGCGCGCGACTAAAGGCCACACGTAATAGCCTTAACTGAGACGTGGCTGATTCCAGAGATACTAGATGGTGAAATAGTGATAGATGGTTTCACCTTGTTCAGACAGGACTCAAACCGTGGCCATGCTTGTGAAGTGGCTCTCTTCTTTAATGAATCCCTACCACCCGCTCTGCATGGTTCCCTTCCTATGATCCAATCGATTGAGACCACATGGGTCCTAATCGTCTTCCTGAGCAGAGACTCACTCCTCCTGGGGGTTGTTTATCGCTCCGCATCAAGACCAGGAAGAATGTCAATCACCTCAAACTCCGCTTCGCGACATTCGTCCCAGCTGCACTTTCTCACACCCTCTTACCCTGGGTGACTTTATCGATACGAGTATCGACTGGCCCAGATGCTACTCCAGAGGTTGAATGTTTGGTGTACCCCTTATAAAACTCCTCAATGAACACTCGTGGTATCAACACGTAGTATCTCTCACGAGATGCCGTGTTGGCCAACGTTCCTCTCTGCTTGACCTTGCGATTATCAGCGAAAGAAGCCAGATCGACATGATCTCGTATCTAAGTCCTGTTGATAAACGTGATCAACTCCTGCTATCCTTTGACTACATTATCCGCTGGCAAACTTGCAGGTCCTCTTCCAGAGTGCTACGTTCTTTCAAAATGGCTGATTTTGTTCTCTTACGAGAATTCCTGGAGAACAGGCTATGCTCCTACATTATTGATACTGACCCGAACAGCTTAAATGAGTTGCGCGAGCGTCTAATTCACGGAGCGGACCACTTGTTTATTCCTAGAGTTCAAGTTATATCTTACCACAGGCTGCCCCTACCCCACTGCATTCGCCAACTAATGGACGAGCGGGCGCATTCATCTGCTAAACTAAAATGTACGGGGCTCGACGCCGATGTTGTCAAGTCCAAGGAAATCCGCAACTTATGTAAGCAGAGAGTTAGGGAATTCCGCAACAGACAACAGAAAGCAATTCTTCTTCGTACTAGATGTAACCCCAATTCCGTATTCAATTCAATACGCCGTGAAAGGCAACCAACCTTCTTGACACTAGCCCTCAAGCTACC